TCTGAAGCTGCACTGAAACTGCAATTAGAACCTTCAACCCGTTGATCCCTATTGAAGACAATTATATGGAGAATTGTTTTCCTCAAAAACCTTAATTTCTTTGCGACTGAAGACAAAAAGGCATGAACGCCTTGGATGACATGGGGGTGAGTAAATGATCAGAAAATCTTTATTCTGAAAGTGAACTAATCCTTTAATTTGGCTTTACAGTCAATCTAATAGAGCATAACGGTGAGTGCTGAGCTCTGAGATGAATCACAACATTACAAACACTGATTTATTTCTATTATCAGACACTTGCGGTTGTGGAATAAATGAATCATAGGTGATAAAAATGCCTGAGAATAGAGTATTTATTTAGACAATGACATGAGTAACTGCACACGCTTCCTTTAGTGTGACGCTGCATCTACACGGACGAGTCGCGTTCGGCTCGTTTATTTCTCAGGGGTGGGTCAGGGCAGGGGTTGTGAGTGTTCTGAGTGTTTTCTGGCTCTTGTGTGTTCGCACCAGCTGCGCCAGAGTCAGCTGGAGCTGCAGGAAGTGCGTGTGTCTCACCGGCAGCTGAGCGCTCGTCTGGAGGAGCTGACGGAGGAGCGCAGTCTACAGGGCTTCAGTCCGAACCCACACAGCCTCCTCTGTGAGATTGAGCAGAGCATGGAGCAGGAGGAGCTGGAGCAGGAGAGAGAGCAGGTACATCAGCCATGAACCGCCCACTTAGACAGGAAGAGACCGTCTGATTGGGCTAGAATTGATACAGCTACGGCCAGATTGTCCTGCTAGGCACGCGCACATCAATATTGTCAATTTTGTCACGCTGAACAACAATTAATTGCTGTATTTGCATTATTGTAAGGTTAAATTTAGGGTTGGGGTAGGTGTAGACGTTAATTAAACACAATCTAATAGGTAGCAAATTTAATTTATTGTTATTTTCCTTGCTTATTGCTTAACTTTTAGTTTCAATCATAGAGCACTCATTCCGTTCACTGATCGTCTGATGAATATTGTAGACTAAAATGAAAAGCTTTGCCATAATTTGTGCTGTTCAAAAGTTTGGGGTCAAAAGCTTTGCCATAATTTTTGCTGTTCAAAAGTTTGGGGTCAGTGACGTTTTTTTTAATTATTATTATTAGAATTTTTTTTTTTCCAGTAAGGATTCGTTGACTGCATGGATTGATCAAAAGTGACAAAGACATTTATAATTTTACTAAAGATTTCTATTTCAAATAATTCATCAAAGAATTCTGAAAATAAAATGGATCGTTTCCACAAAAATAGGAAGCAGCACGACTGTTTTTAGCATTGATAATAATCAGAAATGTTTCTTGAGCAGCAAATCGGCATATTATACTGATTTCTGAAGAATCAGGTGACACTGAAGACTGGAGTAATGATGCTGAAAATATAGCTTTGATTACAGCAATAAATTAAAATTTTCAATATATTCACATAGAAAACAGTTATTTTAAATTGTAATAATATTTCACAATAATACTGTTTTTACTGTAGTTTTGAACAAATGAATGCAACTTTAGTGAGCATAAAATCTTACCAACCTCAACCGTTTGAATGGTAGAGTATATTTAAAATACTTGTAACAAGGAATAACCAATGCCAAGTAGGTATTAATATTTTTCTTAAAAAAATGTACATTTAGATATATATTTACATTTAGTCATTTAGCAGACACTTTTATCCAAAGCGACTTACAAATAAGGACAATAAAAGCAGTCAAAACTAACAAAAGAGCAACAATATATAAGTGCAAATGACAAGTCTCGGTTAGCCTAACACAGTACACGTAGCAAGGTGTGTGTGTATATATATATATATATATATATTTTTTTTTTTGTTTTGTTTTTTTTTTGTTTTGTTTTTAAAGTGCGTTAGGCTGCGTTAAGATAAATATAGATAAAGTAGATTTAAAATAGAATATAAAAAAGTGCTAGAGTTAGAGGGTCAAATAAAGGTGGAACAGATGTGTTTTCAGTTGTAAAATAAATCAAAATTTTAAATTTTAATAAATAAATAAATAACAAAAATACCTTGCAAAATAAGCAGGAATGGTGTCCTGTCACTGAAGACATGGATCCAATGCTCCTGAAAATATCAGGAAATTTTACATTTGTGATTTGAAGAAGTCATTGAATTGATCAAAATTGAAAAAACAAATAATGGAGTGCATATACTAGTCTATATAGTGAATTTATATTTTTCTATTTAGGCACAGCTCTTAAATGTTTCATAGGCTAGAAATTGCTTTTTGCATGAACAAAGGTCTATAAAATGATCTTTAAAATTGCAATCACAAACCACTGGGAAAAAATATGTGATATGCTTACTGGTAAAATAGCAAATGTGATCAAGCCACATGATTTGAGGAATCGTTCTCATGTAGGATAAACTGCGCAGAATGACCCTTGTGAAAAAGAAGTGTGCTCAATTGTATTAAATGTGCAATACAGTTAAGCACACTAGTGAACTTCAGATCTTAAGAGTACATTTCTTAAAAAACCTACTTGCAAATAATATAATATTAATGAAATAAAAGGCCAATTAAGCATACTTAAAGAGAGACACTTTCATGACTGTTTCTTAACACACTTAAGTTTTAAAAAGTTTGTACATATAATAAAATAAAACGTTTTACTTTAAAGTGCATTATAAATCATTCTATTTTAATGTTTTAAAGTTGAGCTTTCAAAAAGTACACTTGTGTTGATGTGCTGACTAACATACTGAAGCACATATAGTACTAGTACTTGATTATAAGTTTGCCTGTAGTGTCTTATTTGATATTACATTAAAAGTTAATATATTAAATGTACTAAACTGCAACTTCATAATAGTGTAATTATTAATATATTTAAATACATGACATGCAAGTTTCAATAGAAATGGCATTAAAGTATCATTTAGTTTATCATAAATGCTTGTCAGTACACTTTAACCATATTTCAAAGACAACAGAAGTAATTATGAAATTACATATAAAGTCCTACTTAAGAGGGCCAAAAAAGCACTCTGAAGGTCATCTATGTGCATTTACTATAAATTGAGACTATAATACTTTTAAAATTTTATTGCAATAAAGTGTCAGAACACATTACATTCAGTTTGCACTTAGGTATGTACTTCTACGGGGAAGTCGTGGCCTAATGGTTAGAGAGTCGGACTCGTAAACCAAAGGTTGCGGGCTCAAGTCTCAGGTCCGGCAGGAATTATAGGTGGGGGGAGTGAATATACCACGACTGAGGTGCCCTTGAGCAAGGCACCAAACCCCCAACTGCTCCCCGGGCGCCACAGCATAAATGGCTGCCCACTGCTCCGGGTGTGTGTTCACGGTGTGTGTGTGTTCACTGCTGTGTGTGTGCACTTAGGATGGGTTAAATGCAGAGCACTAGTTCCTAGTATGGGTAACCATACTTGGCCACATGTCACGTCACTTTCACTTTCTTTTTTTCCACTTTAAAGTCTATAATTTCCATAATAAGTGCTTTTTTTTACGTTCTTGTCTTTCCTTCAGCTCCGGCTGCAGCTGTGGGAGGCTTACTGTCAGGTGCGCTCCATCTGCTCCCAGCTGAGAGGAAATGACATCACAGACTCCGCCTTATCCACAGACTCTTCCATGGACGAGTCTTCGGAGACGCTGTCGGCTAAAGACGTCCCCACGGGGAGTTTGCACGCTAATCTTCTGGAGCTGCGCAGACTCACGCAAAACCTGCTGGACGGCAACGAATCTACGGTAACGATCATCGCACGTTTTACTGCGAACATTCAGATTATTATTATTATTCAATATGTGTTTTTGCGTGCGTTCAGAGTTCACGGCGCAGTGAGGAGGAGGTTCTGGAGGAGCAGGTGCGTAAATTGAGCGAGGAGCTGCGAGAGCTTAGAGAACCGTACGAACAGGAGCAGGAAAAAACACGCAACAGCCAGGAGGAGGTGCTACGGCTCCATAACCAGGTAGACACACATACATACTTACTGTTTTTAAATACCCGAGTTCATTCATTCATCTGTCCTGCTCTGGATCCTGTAGGTGGCGTTGCTCTCGGTGGAAGTTTCTTCTTCAAGAGAGGAAAATGAGCACTTGAGAGCGATGGCAGAAGTACACGAGCCCAACGAACAGTTACACAGCGCTTTACGAGACAGAGATGAAGCCATTGCTAAGTACGGCACACGTATACATGCATGCTTTTAAAGCAATAGTTCACCTAAAAATGGAAATTTGTTGAAAATGTACTCACCTTCCAAGATGTAGATGACTTTATTTCTTCATCTGAACAGATTTGGAGAAATTTAGCATTACATCACTTGCTCTAACAAAACTTTCAGGAAATTTTCACTTTTTTGGGTGAACTTTTCCTTTAAAGTTAATTCTCCATGTCTCGCACTCTTTAACCATATTTCAAAGACAATAAACAATTATGAAATTATATAAAGGTACATTTAAAATCAGTTTAAACTGTAATACATTTATATTTAATCACAATTACCATGCAATTAAGTGTCTAAAAACATCATGTTCAGTTTGCACTTAAAGGTCCCCTGAAATGTTTAGAAGCACGCAGCGTTACTCTATGTGCTGACGTCATTTCAACTGAAACAGGAAGACAGGGCGGGACATATCAAGCAGCCCCGCCCCTTTTTAAAATAGCCAATAGCGTTCGTTTATATCACAGCTTGGGCTAGAGCCGTTAAGAGCCGCTGAGCTCCGTAAAGCCGCATTTGACAGCCACAATCTCATCCATATTGCTATAAAATATAGCATTCTGTGTAGAATTCAGATAGCTCTGTTACATTTTGTGGTCTGCGCCGACTCGTGCATGTGATCCACTCCATGCTATCGTGTCTCTGGAGCGGAGCCGAGTGTGTGTGCGGTGGTTAGCGTGACATATTTACACTGTTTGAATCGTTCCCTGTCCCCTATATAGTCCATTCACTGTACAGAAAATACTAATTCTGTGGACAAGTGACCGATTTCAGCCACGGCTTCAGCGTCTATTTTATAGTGTAGGGGGCGGGGCTTCGGATTCTAGAGAGCAGTTGATTGGACAGAAAGTTTGATGAGAAGCTGAAGTACGATGTGACGTCAAAAAAATCGTTGAGCCATTTTGGCGGAAGTGACGTATTGCAAGCTTTGAATGCTTACATCTTCTAAATGCAAATTTTGTCACTGTTTTGGAGCACACTGCCTTATAGATAACCTTAAGACTAACATATTGATACTAACACCCAAACAACTTTTATTTTGATTTCATGGGGACTTTAAGTATATTCTTTTAAAGTTTTTTCTTTTGAATCTTGTCATGTATTTAAATATTTGTATTTACACATTTGTAATGATCACCTTGCAGTTTTCTATATTTAAAATATATTAACTTTAAATATAATACTGAATAACACACTACAGTTAAAATTGTAATCAAGTACTTTACATGTGATTTAGTATGTTAGTAAGTATTTTGTGTGCAAATAAGTGTACTTTTTTAAAGCACAACTTTAAAACTTAAAAAGATATAAATGTTAAATATAAATGCACTTTAAAGTAAAACTTAAGTTTGAATGTTATATTGTATTCCAAATGAACTTTTTGAAAGTGTACTTAAGTTTGTTAAGAAATATATAGTCTTCAAAGTGTACCTTTTTATAAGTGCACTTAAGTAGCCTTTTATTTCATTAATGTAGTATTATTTGGAAGTAAAGTTTTTAACTTTTTTAATTACAAGTGCACATTCAATACAATTAAGCACACTTGTTTTTCACAAGGCTCATTCTGCACAGCTACAGATGTGAATTATTCCTTCCTTGATCAGATTTACTATTTTACCAGTGAGCAACTGCATATAGCAATGCAACTAAAAACTACTAACACCACTAACCACTAAAATACAACTGTTTTCATTTTTAGAAGGGAATAAAGACATTATTCAGTATCTTTATGAACTCATTTTCCTTGTGAGAACATCTCAAAAGGGTCCTTTTCTGCAGTTTTGTACAGCTACGTTAGACAGAGAGAGAGAGAGAATAACCCTTTAGATGTCTTGAGTTCAATAAACATGTCTAATCTCAGAAACATTATTTTAGTTTTTACACATATGAGTTTCTGCAGCCTGTAACATTAACCTCAGATGCTGTTCTAGTAACTCTTCTTTTCCCCGTTACAGGAAGAAAGCCGTGGAGATGGAGCTGGCGAAGTGTAAGATAGACATCATGTCTTTGAACAGTCAGCTGTTGGATGCGATACAGCAGAAACTCAACCTGTCTCAGCAGTTAGAAGCCTGGCAGGTTGGTTTCACTCACACACACACACACACACACACACACACACACAGTGGTGCACACAAAACACCTCTGACCTCAGATCAGATCAGCCTGAAAGAAAATGGTCCGTCAAAAAGCTGATGTGCATATAAAGTGCACTCTTTCAACAGTCTGGGTTTCTGGAAGTGTCTAGAAATAATAATAAATAAAATGTGAATGCAAACACTAGCTAAACAAGAGAAATTCCATACATCATAATAACACAAGTACCAGGGTTATTATTATTAACTAAAATAAACATTAAGTAAAGTAAAGTTTTATGACAAATAAACGTATTTTATTTCAACTAAATAAAAAATAACTTTATAAAAACTAGACATATTAAAAAGCGAATAAAAATGATAAAATACACAAAATTACAAAAAGTTTAAAATGAAAATAAACAGAAAATATATTTTAAAAAATCTAATTCAGATATAGACTGAAACTATAATAGTATATTAATGATACTAAAATAACACTGACTTTACTGACTACTGAACTAGAACTTTACTGTAAAATAAAAAAAAAACTCTGAAAGCATTACATGTATTGTCTTGTAAGATATTCAGTTCAATTCAAGTTTATTTGTATAGCGCTTTTCACGATGCAAATCGTTGCAAAGCAGCTTTACAGAAAATATAAAGATATAATGTACTTTATATACGGTAAGGCAGCTTAATTTAATAAGGTTAAGCAAATTACAATAAAATATAAAAATTAAACATTCTATTTCAGCTAGAAACTAAAATAAAATAAAAAAGCGCATAAAAACTAGACATTCAAAAAACGAATAAAATGATAAAAAACACACAACAAAATACTAACAATTTAAAATTAAAATAAAACCAGAACATATAAAGAATTCTAATTCAAATATAAACAAAAATTATATATTATAATAGTACGTCAATGATACTAAAGCAACACTGACTACTGAACTCTAAAAACATTACATATATTGTCTTGGAATATATAATATATATTTTCTTTATATATGGTAAGGCAGCTTAATTTAATAAGGTTAAGCAAATAACAATAACAAATATAAAAATTAAAAATTTTATTTCAGCTAGAAACTAAATGAAAAACAAAAAATGTATAGAAACTAGACATAAGAAAACCCTAAAAATGACAAAAAAAAATTTACTGTAAAATAAAAAAAAAAACTCTGAAAGCATTACATGTATTGTCTTGTAAGATATTCAGTTCAATTCAAGTTTATTTGTATAGCGCTTTTCACGATGCAAATCGTTGCAAAGCAGCTTTACAGAAAATATAAAGATATAATGTACTTTATATACGGTAAGGCAGCTTAATTTAATAAGGTTAAGCAAATTACAATAAAATATAAAAATTAAACATTCTATTTCAGCTAGAAACTAAACTAAAATAAAAAAGCGCATAAAAACTAGACATTCAAAAAACGAATAAAATGATAAAAAACACACAACAAAATACTAACAATTTAAAATTAAAATAAAACCAGAACATATAAAGAATTCTAATTCAAATATAAACAAAAATGATATATTATAATAGTACGTCAATGATACTAAAGCAACACTGACTACTGAACTCTAAAAACATTACATATATTGTCTTGGAATATATAATATATATTTTCTTTATATATGGTAAGGCAGCTTAATTTAATAAGGTTAAGCAAATAACAATAACAAATATAAAAATTAAACATTTTATTTCAGCTAGAAACTAAATGAAAAACAAAAAATGTATAGAAACTAGACATAAGAAAACCCTAAAAATGACAAAAAAAAATAAAATTTTTGAAAATGACAAAAACACAAAAAAGTACTACAAAATTTAAATGAAAATAAAACCAGGACATATAAAAATAATAATTGAAATATAAACAAAAACTATAATAACATATCAATGATACTAAAACAACACTGAATACTAGAACTAGAACTTTAAAAATACCTCTAAAAGCATTACATATATTGTCTTTTAAAATATATATATTATTATAAATTATATATATATATATATATATTTGGTAAAGCAACTTAATTTAATAAAGTTAACTTATAACTTTTATACGGTTAAAATCACAAGTTTTAACTGTAGCATTTGTATACATACCTTTTCCTGTTAAAATGACTAACAATCCATTTTCCCTGAAATTATGAATTTGCAATAGAAGATCATTTTTAATATTACTTGGAGCACCACCTTCTTTGAAAGGTTGAATTTATGTTATTTAAGGGAAAGAGTCAAAAGTAATCAATGGTGGCTTGGTTGTAACGTCATATCCTGAATGATTTAAAATGATCAGAAGGTCGAGTAGATCAGGACTGCATGCTTGCCGTGCCTTGGTCAGGCATTCAAGTCTGCATCTGAGTGTTTCAGCTCTGAGATCAGTCACATTACAAAATTGTATTAGAAAATAAAAATGCATATTAGAAACAAATGCAAAGGTAAAAGATGTCAATTATAGGGTAAAATACAAATTACAGGGGAATACATTAACTATTCATCCCATGAAGCTTTGCGGAAGATGTCATTTTGTGCTAACATAAGATGGTAACCCTCGTTCTGTGAAAAGACATTCATTAACACTGACCTCAGTAGCAGTGAATGAGCTTTTTATGATGCTGAGCTGTAATGAATAGCAGCGGTCAGCCTCTTTCTCTCTGTCTGCCTTTTATGTTTAAAGTCAACACTGACCTTATTGACTTATCTTACAGCACACAATTCATAAATGCACGCCATTTTAACACAAGAAATGTTTTGTTATTTTCAAAAATCAAAATGTGCTCTAAAATGACGTCGCCTATACTGTACTCTTCATGTTAATTTTAAGCAATAATCAAATATTATATTTAATAATCAAATATATATTTAGTCATCGTTTCAGGCTACTATTGTACATGATGTTGGTTGGTTGGTTGTATTTATATTTATAGCAATATCAGTCTCACAGGCAATAAATACAAAGAAAAAAGATTTAAAAAACAACAAAAGGTTAAAGGGTTAGTTCACCCAAAAATAAAAATTAGGCTGCGTTTTACTCACCCCCGATGCATCCTAGGTGTATATGACTTTCTTCTTTCAGACGAATCCAGTCGGAGTTATATAAAAATTGTCTTTGACCTTTCAAGCTCTATCGTTGCGCTCAGCGGGTGTTGCATTGCTTCAGTCCAAAAGACGTGAAATAAAAAGCACCTTTCCATTAAATAAAGTGTCACACACGAACATTCTTCTTTACAAATCCTTGTTTTGTACTTCTAATTAGTGACCGTTGTTTAGTTTCGATCTCTCCGCGTGCATCACTTCTGAGCGGAGCATGCGCAGCGCTGACCTCCATACGTCATCCGTCCGGAACTGCTTCCAGTGCACAACAGTGAGCGCAAGCTAGATTCAAGTGATTATTACGTTTTGAATATGGATATTTTTCTTACAAAAACGCATCGATTCGCTACAGAAGGCCTTTGTTCACCCCCCGGAGCCGTGTGAGACACTTTTTTTTTGTGGAAGGGTGCTTTTTATTTCACGTCTTTTGGACAGAAGCAATGCAACACCCGCTGAGTGCAACGATAGGGCTTGAAAGATCAAAGACTTTTAATCTTTAATACTTAAAAATTTGTAATATAACTCCGACTGGATTTGTCTGAAAGAAGAAAGTCATATATGCATCAGGGGTGAGTAAAACGCAGCCTAATTTTTATTTTTGGGTGAACTAACCCTTTAATACCATTTTAAATATTTTTTCCCCCATACATTAGAATGTGTCCTGTTTCATTTTAATTTTTCAGAGCACAAAAGAATGACTATCATACATTCTTACCTCGATTTGCTGAAGACACCCACTAAAATGTCATTCAGTGTAACAATAGTTCATATAAACTAATAAAATACTAATTAATTGTAATTGTAACTTTACCAATCTTTGCCACTATCATTATATTTTACCACTAGGTTTTATCCATTTGTCAGCAAGATATTTATAATCATTTAAAATATAATAACATTAAGTATTAGTCTTTTTCTTATATATATATATATATATATATATATATATATATATATATATATATATA